TTTTGTCTAGGTTCCTTCTTTTGGTATCTATAGGGAATCCTAGCGGACCTTATTTTGTAACCCTAACTTTTGCCTAGGCTACCCTTTATTGTTGTTCGGGTATCCTACCGGGTTGACCCTATCTTTTGCGTAGCCCCCTTTGTGGGTTTCCTACCGGGTATTCTGCCCTTCTTCTTTTTGGCCTTTGGCTTCTATGGGCTTTTATTTTTTGTGTGTCTTTATTTTTATTCACAATATTGGCGAAGTATGACTTTCTTTATGGGTGAGGTAAAGTCTTATTTTTTGTGCTTCTAATAAGCTAGCTTGATGGCAATATCAATGGTAAATGTTGATTATTTGGATGCGCTTTTATTCTCCCTTTTTTTCGTTTACTTAGACAGGGTTATTATGTGGTCTAGTCAGAAATAGAGAGAAGAGAAGCAGATTGTAAGAAGTATTCTTTATTAATTAATAAGGGAATATGTGCCCTAAAATGCCCGGGGGTCGGGCTAGCCCCGGGGGATAATCTCTAACAATCATGGGGTTTACATCCCTTAAATGAAGAAAAAGATCTCCTAATGACTAAGGTAGCTCTTGACGCTTGCACCCCTCCACTTCGGAAAATTTGCTTGAGTGTGCGGAGGGGAGACTTCCCTTTTCTTCTTTCCGCTCGACCCTTGGTAGGGTTATATCCTAGGCCATACTTGAAAGGATTGTCTTTGAATTCTGGGGGTTCCCTCATGCCTTGGGAATCTGCCCCCAGTCCTTGGCCAGGATGGTAACCATGCTTCAACATCATGCGGGCTACCTTTGTGTTTTTGGGAAGTCGCTCTATACTGGCAATTTCAATGTTTCAAGGGCCTCTTCAGTCGCATCCACATAAGGTTGGGTAGACGGTCCACTGATCAAAATGTCGTCTTCTGCTTGGACCGTGACCAATTTGTCATCCACTATGAACTTGACTTTCTGGTGGAGCGTTGAAGGTACTGCCTTAGCGTCATGAATCCAAGGCCTGCCGAGGAGACAGCTATATGCTGGAGTAATATCCATTACATGGAAATCGACGTTGAAGATAGTGGGTCCAACTTGGATTGGCAAATTAACTTCTCCCACTACTTCACGTTTTGATCCGTCGAAGGCTCGAACGATGGTGCTGCTTGGGCGCAGACGAGTTCCTTGGATAGTCAACTTGTCGAGTGTGCACTTGGGCATCACGTTCAAGGATGACCCGTTATCCACAAGAACTTTGGTGATGAGGTACTCCTTGCATTTAACCGAGATATGCAAGGGCTTGTTGTGGTTTGACCCATCGAGGGGGAGTTCTTCCTCCGTGAAGGTGAGGTGATCGCTTGTCGTGATATGACCGACGATCCTCTCAACCTTTTCTTGGGATATGGTATGAGGCACGTGCGCCTCGCTCAAGACCTTCAGCAGGGCGTTTCTATGCGGTTCCGAACTCATTATCAAAGATAACAATGTAATCTTTGCGGGTGTGCGATTGAGCTGGTCTATAATGGAATACTCACTTTGCCTTATGAACTGGAGTAATTCCTCTGTCTCCTCCTTGGATTCTTTATCTTCTTTTTCTTCTTCGGTCTTTTTATTTTTTCCTTTATTCTTGAGGTCCTCTTCTTGTGTGTCCTTGGGGGAGTAGACTCTTCCACTTCTGGTCATGCCCCCGATGCCGACTATATTTGTTATTTCTTCTTTTATTGGTGAAGATTCTCCATATCTCCACGGTACAACTTTATTCGATTTGTAGGGGAAAGGCCGTGGTATAAATAGTCGCACTGGTGTCCTTGCCCCCTCTTCCTTATTCTTGAGTACCAACGGTCGAGGCTTATTATCCTCTTGCGGTGAGTCGACCGTTGGGGTAAGCTTTATTAGGAGTGGCTTTCTCTCCATTCTTCTGATTTGGAAGACGTGTCAGTTAATCCTTCCTTTTTATTATCTTATTTATTAAGCGTGAAGGAGGGGAAATTAAATATGCAAATGAATGTCATGTATGCAAGTAGACAATTGTGGAATAAAGAGGAATTTCATTTATCCATTCAGAAGGTGTACATTCCCCTACTCCATACTACGAAGCAACTTTTGGCAAAAACGGAAAAGCCTAAAGAAACCCACAGGTCGGTCCTGATCTCTATGTAATTCTCTTTCGGCTTCCCGGAGTGACGAGTAAGTGCTTCACTTTGCTTTTGGACCGCCTGGCTCATATCTTCACTATACTTTTGAGCCTCTTTGATCTTCGCCTCTTGATGGACGACCAAGGCTTGCAGTTCGTCGAGTTTTGTGAAGGCTCGGTCTTTTTCTTGTAGTACCTGGCCATATTGAGCTAGCCCGTCTCTTTCCTTACAGCGTAGCTCAGTGAGACTTTTGTTGAGTCTTCGGTTGGCCTCTCGCTCTTGGCGTATGTCTGACCGAGTCTTGGTGAGTTCTTGCAATAATTCCTTGATCGTCTGAGTCTGTTTTGCTGATTCGGCCTCAAGGTGTGCAGACTTGGCGGTTATCTCCTGAATTTGACTATCCGAGCTGGTTCTGGCAATTTTGGATGCTCGGATAGCTTGCTCGTTGGAGTCAGCACACTGATCCTTGAGGCGCTCTATTTCATGATCATTTTTCTTGCATTGCCTTTGCAGACCATCAATGGTGAGGATAAATTCTTGCTCTCTTTCTTCAAGGGCCCTCATCTGGGCTCCCATGATTTCTATCCTCTGGGTCAAGGCATCGACTTGAGCCTGCAACTCTTCACTATTGGCGCTTGTAATGAGTGTGGTGGATGGTTAAGACATCCCTCTTCTTTGTCTCCACACCTCGTAGTCACTAAAGACAGTCACTCGAGCTTTTCCTAGCTCTCTATCTCCCATATAGACTGGTCTCTCCCATGCTCTTCTCACGGCTAGTGAGTTGGCGATTGTGCATGGATCTCCAAAGAAACACAGTCCTCCGAGTTCCCCCCGAGAAATGGTAGTTTGGGTCCTCATGAGCTGCCTCATAGCTACTCTAGGTGAGTAGGCTATGCAACCCCTGAGTCCTATCAAGGGTACGTTCGGATAGTCTCCACATTTGATGAGAACTGGGCCAGGTCGGAACCAAGGGCAGACCCAGGATATACTGCTGGCGTCCTTTTGTTCCAACTCGTCCCTCCATTCTGAAGTTAAGCATCGTTGGAGAGGGATTTTGGAGAAGCTCCTTAAAGGATCGGGGAATATCCCCATGTGACTGGAGGCGTATAGGTGCGTAGCGCTCCACACGAATAGCAATGAAGAGCAGCAGCGAAGTGTTTTTCCTTGCTTCTGGCGGCAAAATTCCACCGAGAGCAAGGTGTCGGCAAGAATTGTAGGCAAGGGACTCTTCGAGTTTACGTCCCAGGCGAAGAAGGCGTCCATGACGGCTTGATCCACTGTGTCGAGGTGGAAGGGAAACAAGATAGTTCCAAAAATGATTAAAGCCAGGGTCTTGTTGAAGGCAACCCACTCTGTCCTTTCTGCCAAGTCGGACAGGTGGTCTTCTAACATTGAGACTTTCCAACCCTGGATGTTCCCTTTTCCTATCAGGGCAGTCTGCCGGAAGGGTAGTTGAATGATGGTAGCGACTTGTGCTGCAGGAGTATATGCCCCGTGGCGAATATGGACCCCAGCTGATTTGGGCCATTTCAACATAATCTCATACTCCTCCAAGGTTGGCACCATATCGAACTGCGGAAATTCAAAGCATCGCAGACTAGAGTTCCAAAAATGAATTAATACCCTGAGGAACACTTGATCGACACAGATCTTTAGCAGGTCGAGAATCCGTCCATAGGATTTTTCAAAGTCGGCGCGGACCTCCGGTGGCATTACCGCGCAAAGTCGTTCCAACTTCTCAGTATGATATCGGGGAATATCCACCTTCTTCAATTGTCTACTAGTCCCCTCCATTTTCTAAAACAAAAATGCATGTTTTATGAAAATGATGCTTATTTGAATGAATGTGAGTGTTTATTTTCTGTTTATCATGTTTTGTATGGTATTTACGTATTTTTTCCGAAAAATAAACTACCTATATGAATGATTTGGGATGTTTATGAATCAGGCCCCATTTATGGTTTTGAAAACGGATTTTATTTAGTATTTTATTTTTATTTATTTGTTTATTTTATAGCCTTTTATCTCTTCTGTCGGAACTGCGTGGCTACTTAGCTTACAAAGAACCTGAAACCAGGCTAGCTAAAAGGCAGACTGTCCGAGATAAAATGTGGCTTTATGCAAAAAAAATATTTAGCGTCCCTTATCTCTTCTATCGGAACTGCGTGGCTACTTAGCTTACAAAGAACCTGAAACCAGGCTAGCTAAAAGGCAGATTGTCCGAGATAAGGGTGTTTATTGTAAAAATATTTTTTGTGATTTTTCTTCTGTTGTTTGGTTATGCTATGCAACAAACAAATGCAACAATCATATGCACACACAATTCGATCATCCACGAACAGGCGAGAATTCGTTTTTATCACGAGGTAGGGTTTTCCTGCAGAAAAGTGATTTGGCGAAGGTAGGTTCTAACTGTTCTCACCAAGGCTAAGGCCCCCAAGGTGCCCCCATTATAGGGTCCCCACTCTCCAGCCTTCCGACCATGCTTAACACTAAGGTCATAGTCAGTCTTTGTGCCAAAAGAGGAAGGTTACTAGTCCACCGCCTTCTCCTTGATCAAATAGTGTAAGGAGAAAAAAAACCCTATTATTTCCCTTTCTTTCTTTTGAAGTTCTTTCTTAGGTTTCTCTTCTTCCTGTAATTTGTAGAATATTAAGACTAGTTAGAGCATAAGGATTAGCAGAATCGTAAAAAAAAAAAAAATTGTGATGTGATATAAAGAAGAGGAAAAATTCCCATACTTCTATATAGTACGAAGCACTCGTAGCACTTGCTAAGAGTTGCCTAATTGATTGAATACCAGTAAATTTACCACAAGAGTATACTCATTTCCGCAACACAATTTCATTGCTTTGGATGCGGCTCCTTTAACTGCTAATCTTTTTCCACCCGAAGGCTAGTTAAACATATGTCGCAAAGAGTAGTATCTGAATCTGTATCTGATGAGGATACTGCTGCAGCGGCTGAGGCCGTGGTAGTATGAAGGAATTCCCTCCTCGAGATAGTCGATATAGAGAATTGTCCGCCTAAAGAAAGAATCGCGAGTTTACTCGCTTCCAAAAGCCTTCCTTACAGTAAAGGTAAGTCATCCTATTCTTATAATTAGCCTGAAGGGTAGCTAAGACGCCCCCTTCCCATTCATTTTCCCTTGGGATGAGAAAATGAATCTTTCCCCTATATGAAAGTATGAAAGAGGTTGACTTTATTTCAAAGAGTTAGCAGGGTAAGGGCTTAGAAGAGATTAGCGCTTTGGTTAACAGTGGAAATTAGCCTAGCCCTCGTCAGGCAGGCTACTGATTAACTTGATGAGCAGAAAAGCATACTGACCCAATGAGTCATATCATACAGGGCTTGATTCCATTTTATTAAATAATCTAAGTAAGAAAGCAGCAAAGAACATGAGTAGCACAAGTTCTTGAGGGTAGATCTTTTCACTCTTTTTCGATGCAAGAAGAGTCAGTGTCATTCTAGCGACTTCTTGAGAGCACCGACGGAGCGAAGTAATTCAACCGGAGTATCCCAGCTCTCAAGTTAGCTCGGGACGGGAGGGTATCAAACCATTGAAAGCGAGATGCTGAATTAGATCCAAGTATCTCTCACGAGATGAAAGAAAGGAAGCAGAGAATGAAGAGAGGATGTGACTACTACTAATACCTTTATTATATTAGAATACCTTTCATTTAAAAGGTGTATGTACGGGTTGAAAGATAAAATTCCACTATCTCCCAGACTGAACGAGATGAGGTTTTATAAGTCATATATCCAATTTCATTGATGACAAAAAAACGGGCTTTCCTCAAACGATTGGAACAAGAATAGGTTCTTGTCTCTTTGAATCGTATCATCCATGGCGAATGGTATCGTATATAAGAGAAAGGCCGCATTTAGGAGTGAAAAAAAAGGAACATCTTTATGAGATGAACATAATCTATATCTCTTCTTTGGTTAGGAAAAATGAACTTGGTGTAGGGGCCTTAACATCGAATCACACATAGCGAGTGTTTCTTTCTAGTAGCTGCTTCACTTTAGTAGCCATTTTGTTTGTGTAGAACCACATAACTTGCTCGGAAGCTATTGCATTGATAGGCAGAGCTTACCGGTACAATAAAGCAGGCAATTGAATCCTTCGCAAAAGAACTCATTTAGCTTGAGCGAGTGAAATTTTCATCATTCCCTAATCAAAACCAAAAGCAAAATCCCAAATAGAATGTAATTGCCCTAATTAATTTAATTTCGACTTTTACGAAAAAAAGAAGTTTGTCTAAATCAAAAACTTTGACTGGGACTGGTCCTCCATCATTCCCCTCCCCCCCCAGCGCTAGGTCCTTAGAGGCCTCTTCCCTTTCTTCTTGTATGAGAAGAGAGGGAGACTACACCTTCTTCTGTCGGAATACGAAGAAGAAAAAAGTGACAGATTTGTCCATCAGTAATGGGGATCACATTGGTGGGAATATAGGAAGCTGAAGGACTCCAATTTCAATGTGCCCAATTTCAAAGAGTTGTTTTTTATATATTATATATATAGTAGAAATCTTTTTTTAAAAGTAGATAGAGGATGTGTGGGCATCCGCGCGACACAATTCCTCAAGCATCTGAGACAGTTTATGGGAAGGATACTCAGTTTGCCTATTCGTAAGGATTGACTCCCCAATAATGAAATGAATTGCATTTTTTTTCTCGCCAAAAGGCATAGGGCCAAGGCGGAATCCAATTGCGCCATTCGATCGACAATCTGCCCTTTCTTTTAGTTGAGCGATCGCTCGCGCTTCCTCCATGTAGACCCCAAATCTTGCCCCGCCTCCAAATAAAGACCAGAAGACCTCCTATTTGAAGATGGACGAAGCCTAACAAGCCATTAGGAGAGACTATTAGGCCCCATACTAGGATAGGAAGGATTTTCTGCGCAAAAAATAAGTTTTCTCGCCTTGTTGGGACGAGACCGCCGTCTGGATTTCCCAGACCGCCGTCTCGCCTCATGCAAGTGGCGAGACCGCCGTCTTGCTTGACGAGACGACGGTCTTGCCACCTGCGAAGGGCGAGACGGCGGTCTCGCTTACCCAGACGGCGGTCTCGCTGCGTTTGACAGGGCGAGACGGCGGTCTCATTGGACGAGACGGCGGTCTCGACCCTGTCAGACGAGACCGGCAGTCTCGCCACCTGACAGCGCGAAAACCTATAAATAGGGGTCCTCCCGCCCTCATTTCCACACACCTCAAGCATTAGCTCTGCCTTCTCTCTAAAAACTTCTCTCTAGAATCCCTCCGACGCATTTCCGGAGTTTCTGAGTGTCTTTGAGAGCTTTTTTCGTCTAGAAGAGTTTCCGACGTCTTGTAGAGTGAAGGGCTGCCAAAACGCACCCTCTTTTCAAAGAGAAATATAAAACAAAGCTTGCTTCGGAGGTTTAATTTCCCCCTCTCTACTTTTAACGCTTTAATTTTAATTATGCAATAGATTAGGGCCATGTAGTCATCACTTTAAATTCCGCATAATAAAAAGGGCAAAAGCATATTTTCTGGTTTATTTATTAACAATAAAAGCTGACCTGTCATAGGGAACCCGAAAGGGGCGTAGTAAAGGAACTGATACTTCCTTTACCACGTAACTAACTCCCTTACCCAACTCTGGTTCTAATGACCAAAGTTGGTTTTCGAAAACCAACGCCTTTCAAAAACCTTTTCCGATGTTTCCGGTAAAAACGTCGGTGGCGACTCCATAGAACCCAAAATAAATAAGTCCTTGGGTTAGCCCGGTTATCAGATAACCCAAGGACACCTTTCGAAAACCTTGCCCCTAGGTTAGCCCGGTTATCAGACAACCTAAAGGCATTGTAACCACCCATAAAAAACGCGAAAATCAAAAGGGTAAAAAAACCATCGCGTCGCTCCGACCGCCTCTTTTTCAGACGGCGGCGACAGATGGGGACTCCGCTGGGGAAGCCTCGAGAGTTGATCCCATTTAGTGATGGGCCGGCTTAAATAATAAGAAAATAACACTTTTGCCCTTAACTTGTATTTATAACATGTTTTAATGTTTGGCTTTAATAAATTGTTGTTTGTTTATACTTGCGCAAATTGCTTGAAATATAAACTGCACACAATCCCTTGCACACAACAGTTCCCCCTATACCCGGGGGCAAGTGAGATAACCATAGGGAGTGGGTGGCAGGTACGGTTCACTGTAGTGAGGGCCTTGAGCCCACCAGTGTGATCGGAAACCACCACTCAAGGTGATAACCTTCCTCTTTTGGCAATAAGACTGACTATGGCCTTAGTGCTAAGCATGGTCGGACGGCTGGAGAGTGGGGACCCTATAATGGGGGCACCTTGGGGGCCTTAGCCTGGTGAGAACAGTTAGAACCAACCCTGGCCAATGCACTTTTTTGCAGGAAAACCCTACCTCGTGATAAAAACGAAATCTCGCCGGTTCGGGGATGATCAAATTGTGTGTGCATATGATTGTTGCATTTGTATGTTGCATAGCATAAACAAACAACAAAAAAAACAAAAAAAAACACAAAAACCAAAAATATTTTTCACAAATAAACACCCTTATCTCGAACAATCTGCCTTTTAGCTAGCCTGGTTTCAGGTTCTTTGTAAGCTAAGTAGCCACGCAGTTCCGACAGAAGAGATAAGGGACGCTAAATATTCTTTCGCATAAAGCCATATTTTATCTCGGACAGTTTGCCTTTTAGCTAGCCTGGTTTCAGGTTCTTTGTAAGCTAAGTAGCCACGCAGTTCCGACAGAAGAGATAAAAGGCTATAAAATAAACAAACAAATAAAAATAAAATCCATTTTTCCAAAGTCTGTAAATAAGACCTGGTCCAAAAATGTTATACTCATAAAAATTCATATAGATAGTTTATTCTTCCAAAATAAAAATACGCAAACATCATGTAGAAAAACATGATAAATAGAAAATAAACACTCACATACATTCAAATAAGCATCCATTTCATCAAAAATGCATTTTGGTTTTAGAAATGGAGGGGACAAGTAGGCAGACAAAGAAGGTGGACATTCCCCGTTTCCATACTGAGAGGTTGGAACGGCTAAGCACAGTAATGCCATTGGAGGTCCGCGCCGACTTCGAAAAATCCTACGAACGGATTTTAGACCTCCTAAAGATATGTGTCGATCAGGTGTTCCTAAGGGCACTAATCCACTACTGGAATCCAAATCTGCGATGTTTCGAGTTTCCGCAGTTCGACCTGGTGCCCACCCTAGAGGAGTATGAGACCATTTTGAGGTGGCCCAAATCGGTCGGGGTCCACATTCGCCACGAGGCATATACTCCCGCAGCACCAGTCGCTGCCCTTATTCAGTTGCCATTCCGCCAGAGTATCCTGATAAAGAAGGGGAACACCTAGGGTTGGAAAGTAACGATGTTAGAAGACCACCTGTCCTACCAGGTTGAACAGACATAATGGGTTGCCTTTAACAAAACCCTGGCCCTCATAATTTTTGGAATAGTCTTGTTCCCCTTCCATTTCGACATAATAGATCAGGCCGTCATGGACGCCTTCTTCGCCTGGGACGTGAATTCGAAAAGTCCCCTGCCTGCTATTCTTGCCAACACCCTGCTCTCGGTGGAATTCTGTCACCAGAAGCAGGGCAAAATACTCCGCTGCTGCTCTTCATTGCTATTTGTGTGGAGCGCCACTCACCTATACACCTCCAGTCACATGGGGATATTCCACGACCCTTTGAGAAGTTTCTCCAAGATTCCCCTCCAACGTCGTCTGACCTCAGAATGGAGGGATGAGTGGGAGCGCAAGGACGCCAACAGTATATCCTGGGTCTGTCCTTGGTTCCGACCCGACCCAGTTCTCATCAGATGTGGGGACTATCCGAGTGTACCCTTGATCGGACTCAGGGGCTGCATAGCCTACTCACCTAAAGTAGCTATGAGGCAGCTCATGAGGACCCAAACTACCATTTCCCGAGGGGAGCTCGGAGGACCGTGCTTCTTTGGAGACCCATGCACCATCGCCAACTCACTAGCCGTGAGAAAAGCATGGGAGAGGCCGATCTACATGGGAGACGAGAGCTAGGAAAAGCTCGGGTGGTCGTCACCGATGGACTATGAGGCATGGAGAAATAGAAGAGGAGTGGCTCAATCATCCACCACACCCACCATGAGCGCCAGAAATGAAGGGCTGCAGGCTCAAATCGACGCCTTGACCCAGAGGATAGAGATCATGGGAGCCCAGATGAGGGCCCTTGAGGAAAAAGAGCAAGAATCTATCCTCACGATTGATGGTCTGCGAAGGCAAGGCAAGAAAAAGGATCATGAAATAGAGCGCCTCAAGGACCAATGCGCTGACTCCCATGAACAAGCTATCCGAGCGTCCAAAACTGCCAGAACCAGTTCGGATAGCCAACTGCACCAGATAACCGCCAGGTCAGCACACCTTGAGGCCAAAGCAGCAAAGCAGGCTCAAACGATCAAGGAGTTGTCGGAAGAGCTCCTCAAGACTCGGTTAGACATCCGCCAAGAGCGAGAGGCCAACCGGAGACTCAAAGAAGTCTCGCTGAGCTACGCCACAAAGAAAGAGATGGGCTAGCTCAGTACGGCCAAGTACTTCAAGAGAAAGACCGAGCCATTGAAAAGCTCGATGAACTACAAGCCTTGGTCGTGCATCAAGAGGCAAAGATCAAAGAGGCTCAACAATACAGTGAAGATATGAGCCAGGCAGTCCGCAAACAAAGCGAAGCACTTGCTCGTCATGTCCGGGAAGCTGAGAGAGAACTACAGAGGAATCAAGACCCTCCTGTGGGTTTCTTTAAAGTTTTCCGCTTTTGCCAAAAGAATAGGGGAATGTACACCTTCTGTTGAATAAATAAAATCATCTTTTTGTGCAATGTCTGTCTACTTGCATGCATGAGCATTCATTTGCATATTTAAATTTCCCCTCCTTCACGCTTAATAAATAAGATAATAAAAAGGAAGGATTAACTAACACGTCTTCCAACTCAGAAGAATGGAGAGAAAGCCACTCCTAATAAAGCTCACCCCAACGGTCGAATCATCGCAAGAGGAAAATAAACCTCGGTCGTTGGTCCTCAAGAATAAAGAAGAGGGGGCAAGGACGCTAGTGCGACTATTTATGCCACGTCCTTTCCCCTACGAGTCAAATAAAGCTGTACCGTGGAGATATGGGGAATCTTCACCGATAAAAGAGGAAATAACGAACATAGCCGGCATTGGGGGCACAACTAGAAGTGGAAGAATCTACTACCCCAAGGACACACAGGAAGATGTCCTCCAGAATAAAGGAAAAAATAAAAAGACCGAAGAAGGAAAAGAAAATAAAGAATCCAAGGAGGAGACAGAGGAATTTCTCCAGTTCATAAGACAAAGTGAGTATTCCATTATAGACCAGCTCAACCGTACACCTGCAAAGATCACATTGCTATCTTTGATAATGAGCTTGGAACCGCATAGAAACGCCCTGCTGAAG